TAATTAAGAAGAAAGGGATGGATATCTGGAAGAAAAGGTGGAAGAAAGACCAGAAAGGTAAATAGTATCTTAAAGTTCGAAAGACAATCACAATTAATATTTATAAAGAAAGAAACAGAAGGGAGGAAATCATGATAGCTAGACTCAGACTAAATCACACAGCATTGAATGGTGCTCTGTATGTCATGGGGGAAAGTAACAGTGACAAGTGTGGGAACTGTGGAGGTAAGGGAAATGTGGAACATGTTTTATTAAATTGTGTCACCTATAAAGCTGAAGAGAAAAACTAAAGGATAAAGTGATAGAGGCAGAGAGGGAGTGTGGTTGGTATTCTGGGAACAGAAGGAAAAGGAATGAGAGCTACCAGAAAGACACTGTGTACCTTTCTGAGAGAAACTGGGATAGGTAAAATAATCTAAAAGTAGGTTAGAATAAATTATGGATGATTGTTTGTTTTTTTTAAATTATATTTTATGGTTTCTTATTTTAGTTTTCGTTATTTTGTTTATTAGAGATGGAATGACATGGTGATACACACTCATGTACAGTAGGTGGCGGTATCTAACTAAAAGCTGTTTGCGATCCGCCATTAAAAAAGAGAAGAAGGGCCCAGAAACTGCGGTCTGCGAGGCTGCAGCTTCATACTATTGGAGTAAACCCCAAAAAGCATGATAGGGCGAGTCAGACCCCTTTAAGTTATTTTATTTATTTTTGTCTGCTTCTGAGAAGCTGATGTATAAGTTATACAGTTATTTGTGCAAGAAAATTACAATAAAATGACTGTTTAATCTTCACATCTTGTATTCATGTCTATAATTTTGAGCACCAAATTATTGAAAAGTATCGATAAGAGTATCGAAAAATACCGATACCAATAAGCAGTACCGGTATCAGTATCGGTATCGATACAATCCTAACCCATCCCTAGTGAGGAGTGATATGCAGCACTGGAAAACATGACTTTGCTGAAGCTACAGATATGACCAATAGCATATCAAGTGTTGCTATTAGAGCTACTGTACTGCATATAAAATACTGCAATATGGAGACGATTCCCAGCATCAACATTTTATTGAACATATAAAAAGGACAACTGGCCCCGTCACCAGCCTCAATTTATTCAAGCCAGACAAAATGTTTGCTTATTTTCAAAATAATTAACATAATTAAAACGTTCTCACCCAATACAATTGAAACATTTTCACTATTTACATATTTGAAGACCTGTGCTGCTTCTAATCCAGTCAAACATGTTGTCATTGTTACCACAGGAACGTATATTTCCCCTCCTTCTATCTGAGATCCATATTGAGAACAAGACAATTACATATTCACAACATTAGATTTTCTTTTGGTATGGAGAGTAACGGTGTAACATTAGATCCTGCAGAGAGTAATGCATTATGGGAGGCCTGAAAGTGAGGCACCACCTAAATTAAGAATTCCCATATGTACGTATATGTCCTTGGTCGGGAAAAATTCAAACCATTTAGTCAATTTCAAGGCTGTATTGATTGAGATCTTAATCAATTAAGATATGTTTTCGACTGCTCTATAACCTGCTTATCTGCCACAGGGGGGGGTGTGGTCTTATAATCAGGGTTGTCTTCATTTGTTTCTGAATGGTATCTGAACAGGTGGAAGTGACATAAATCTTTTGAGACGGCTGTGAAGTACAAAATACTGACAAGTTCTCGCTTTGCAGTGGTTGGTCTGAAGGGTTATCAGCTGGATGCTAATTGAATCTTGGTCTATTAAATATAACTTTGATAAAACACCTCAGAGCCTTGAGCTAAATTAATTCCTCTTAACAGTCTACTGCCCGATAGAAAAAACACAGCGAGTGACAATAAAAAAAGTCAAGTGACGACATCATGGCATGTTTTAATGTGTTGTTTCAAGTTATTCTCATTGGTGCCGTCCATCTTTAGCTTTAAGTCGTTCTCAGTGTAGTTTATGCCACTCGGGCACCAAGTTGAAGGTTTTTAAATTCAACACTTAGTTATAGACACTGACTTTTACTGTACTAAAATATAAATTAAATATAAGGAATGTTGTTTTTTCTTTAACTTAATATCATTTTGCAGTTGTTCATTAGAAATTATATGTTGGAGGTATGATTTCTCTTGTAGGGACACCACAGAGTTTTCTGCATCAAGGCTATTTTCACATTGTTAAATCCACAGCAGTCACTCTGACATCCAGAGATCAGTCCACTTTCTTTGGCTTGCGGTTCTTCCACATGATAACTGCAGTGAAGGCCCCTGTGAGGACATAAGAGTGGTATCAAGTTTGTATTTAGATGGGTTGGAGTGCATATTTTAATGAGAATACTTGAGTGTGTACTGACCTATACAGAGAAGAAGTATTACTGCTGCAATGCCGGGGAGAATTACAGAGTACTCCCGAGGAAGAAAATACGTATGCAGAATGTGATCACTGTCCATGAAAGGCTGGAAAAGAACGACATACAACATCATACATGTAATATTACATTTTTTTTTTAAATATGGTCTAAAGAGACTTAAATTGTTATTCAAAAGTAAAAGTGTAAAAACATGAAATGAACATATTTAGGGAGAAAGGATAGGCATACAGGTCTTTGTTGTGTGGACACAGCAGACAGGTTCTGACACCCCTGCATGTGTGAAATTAACTTCAATCTTGTGTTGTAATGCAGATGTTTTATTGGGATTTTAAGGATGTTAACAGAACCTACCAGGATGATGACCCAGACAGAGTAGTATGTAAACAGCAGGAGGCTGAAGACAACAAGACTCATGCCAACTGCCTGATCCACTCCTGTAGCCTGAAAAAAGAGCAGAATGCATTTGGAGTTGTTATATGTCGCACCAACCTATTTCTTTGTGATAATTCTTCAGACCAACTTGGACTTAATTATGGGTCGCGGTTCTGGTCCTAATAGCAGACTATATTGTTTTTGACTTCTACGTAATTTTGCACCTCCATTAAGAGAGGTGACAGTTGAGGTACAAGGGATCAAATCGAATGGTGAAAATTGAAGCAGCAGAGCCCAAAAATCCTGACGTTTAGTTTCTACAAAAATATTTATAAGGAATCTTAACACAATTATTTCTAAGTTTAATTTGGTTCAGGGCTTCCACCTCAAAGACTGCAACTGCACGACGACATGGAAAATAACTTTTTTTTTTATAAATAATCTTTTTCAACTCATCACAGGGGTCCCCTCTTCTTTTCTCTGTACGCCAGTTCACTTTCCTCTGTCATCTGGTCTTATGGCTTCCCTCACCACAGCTGAGGACACCAACCAACTGTCCTTTACTGCCAACCAGGGCTCGAGTTTAAGGACGTCCCGTCGTCCCGGGGCCGAAAAAAATAGTGTCAGGGAGGATAAAAAATAATTTTGGGACGAGAGTTAAAATAAAAATACCCTGCTAACTCTACTACGAACGGCGATGAAAATGAAATCGACTGCACGTTGTGTGTAGCACACAATTATTAAACCTCCTTGTCAACATAAACACACAAAACATTTAGCAACCCGCGAAACACACACACACACACACACACACACACACACACACACACACACACACACACACACACACACACACACACACACACACACACACACACACACATACGTAAGCTGTGCCCATGGCCGCACAGCTGGCTGTGCCCGCGAATTCCTGGCCCGCAAATTCGCGGGTCTATCTACAGTAGGCTATATACTGAGTGTGTGTATTTCGCGGGTTGAGTGATGTAAAATGACAATGGTATCCCGTGGAGGAATTCTGAAATGTTTTACCGTTACATCACAAAAACGCACAGCAGAACCAGACCATGGAGCGCCGGCCTCTTTATTTACTTACTCCACTTCATCCCCTATGGGTAATAAGGCTGAGATGAGAACCCTCCATCGTATTTAGTCCTTAGTAATATGCTGCGCCTCTCCCCATGTATGGATGGGTACCGAGCCCCGGTATTAAACGGGCTCCGCCCGGGCCGGAATTATTAAAGACAGTGGTAACGTTAAGCTCCGACGTTATCTGACTTTTTATCGGTACTGGAGATATTTAAAAAATATGTCATATGTAGTATTGCTACATAAACATTATATCGCAGTTTTAGTTTATCCAACTCCGTTTCTAATATGCAATAAGACTACAACATGCGTCTATGATGTATTTTCGAGCTTTCC